CTATTTCCTCTCCTTTCTGCCAGGACTAATTACTACTTTCTTGGAAATTGGATTCCCCTGTTTTTCCGTTTTCTAAAATATTTCAAATAGAACTGACTATAGCTTTAAAAAAAAATCCTTTCTCACAGGAAAAGAAAGGAATCTTTTAATTAGACAATGGAAAGGAAAAGAGAATTGAAAACTCACAGAAAGAAAAGTAAGGACTACAGAATGAAAAGAGCTTACAGCAGAGTTTAAATATGCCTCTTGACCAATGACGTTTAAAACCAGAAGAGTCTTGTGACTCTAAACAGTGTTGGTTTCTACTAAGCCAGAGGGCAGGGTAATTGTTAGGAATCACTTCACTACCCCACCTCCAAGTTTGCAAAGTCTAAACTAAATTAGTTGATCAGGCAAACTTTTGCCATCTCTGCTGCTGTCTGCATGGTTATTATTGTGGTGAAATTCTGATAAATAAGCACATCTTTTACGCCATATTTTTCTTCTTAAAATTCAACTGATCCTAACTACACTAAAAAAACCAAACCAAACCCACTACTGTTGAGTCAATTCTGACTCATAGCAACCCTACAGGACACAGTCGAACTGCCCCATAAGGTTTCCAAGGAGCGCTTGGTGGATTTAAACCACTGACTTTTTGGTTAGCAGCCGTAGCTCTTAACCAGTACGCCACCAGGGTTTCCTAACTACACTAAAAACTTTAAACACAGTATTGGAGCAATGTAACTTATTTTTGAATGAAGCAGCATGGAAAGAGCACTAATTTCTGAGTCAGGAGGCTCTGGGCTCAAATCCCTGCCGTCCCACTGACTAGCTAATGATGTTGACCAAATCAATTCTCCCTGGGCCTCTGCTTCCTCATCTTTAAAATGGGAACAGACTACCAATCTTTTTTTTTTTTAATTGTACTTAAATGAAGGTTTACAGAACAAATACTTTCTCATTAAACAGTTAGTACACATATTGTTTTATGACAATGGTTAACAATCCCACGACATGTCAACACTGTCCCTTCTCAACCTTGGGTTCCCTATTACCAGCTTTCCTGTCCC